TAAAACAATTTCACAGACAGCACATCATCCCAAATTGCCCACCCAAAATGCTGAGCCAAATTTTATCAGATTCATTGGTGAATGGAATAAAAGTTTTCCGTACTCTGCATCTCTTTGCACCCATTGAAATTTTCCACTATAACCATGACTTTCAAGCGTATAAGTTTCATCTTAATTTTCTGCCTCTTCCTCGGCACATTCGCCGCTCCGGTGAGTTAAAAGAACCACAAATTTTCGCTAAAGTCCCCAAACAATTCTCTCTCCCTCTGCCTTGCGATTTCATTAAACTTTCAGACAATGTACGACTTAATTGTGAAGCGACTTAATTGCATTGATTTGGAAAAGGACTATGGCGATGTGTCTTGCGCGGTGAATTTGAAAAATCGCACAACGAGCTTCCTTCACGTCAATGCAACTTTTCATCACGAATTGGTCGATCCCATCATCAAAGTCACTTTCTACTACCGCTTCACACAGTACAGAAAGTTCCTTATTGACGTGGCCGAGGACTTTTGTGGATTTACTAAGAATGGAAAACCCGCGCCAGTTATTAATCTCATCTGGAAGACACTCAACGAGGCTTCCAACTTTGCCGAGGGCTGTCCTTTTACCAAGGTAACTCACCCACATGTTTTTTTTTCCTGCCAAAAGCAGACTACAAATCTTGATCTTTCTGCCCTGCCAGGGAAAAACATGGTATGTTAAGGATTACATCTTTGACTCTTCACAATTTCCACCTGCTTTGCCCACTGGAGATTATCGCATTGATGTGATTATACACAATAGCTTGGACAAAAAGGACATTCTCAACGTTCAAATATTCACCGTTATCAAGAGAAAACCCATGGCGGACATTCAATGGAATTAGACAAAACACATTATGCTATATTCTTCACTGCATATTTACAGAGTTTTATGTGTGCACTAAATAAACTATGCGGTGTGTGGCCCTTGAAATCGCTCCGAATTGTGCTTCAATTGAGTGTCAGACGCGAAACTATTTATACACTATTCAAATGCAAATATCATTGTAATCCATCTTAATGAGGTGCTGATGACTCTCAACTATTGTAGTGAATTTCTAAAAATCACTCATTTGTCCCTTGTATTTACCACAATTGGCACGATAATGTATTTATAATCGATTACCCTGACTATTTAGTCGAACAATAGAGTCCATCTTGCATGAAATACTTAGAATTTGGCTAATAAATGTTCTGCCACTAAAAGTGTCAAGAGGAACATTCATAAATCTCACCGTCTCTTATGAATATTCAAAGCAAATTGGGCAAAATCTTGATAACATCACACACGCTACACTTTAACCTGTGTGTGTAGTTTTGTCTTAAACTCCTCTCATTAGCATGAGTTTTATCATCACCAAAAACTTTGCCTAACACTGTGAAGTCTTTCAACAAATCCCTTATTCAATTTCACAAGAGATTTCCCCCCATCTTAAGGACAGAGAATTGAAGTAAAAGGAAATAATTTCTCATCTCAAACTTCACATGAGTGTGAATACAAGAAAGTTTTCACGACACAATTGTTCCCTCCTGAATCAATTACAAACAGAAGTTTTGTGTGTTTTCCCCCATTTTCTGCAAGCATTCTTCAAATCAGTGCATAATTGGAAAACAGAAAGGAATTTACTAAATGAATTTAAATGCAAATTCTTCGCATGAATCCACAGTCTTTACATCTCCTCTGTGTTTACCGTGAAAACTAACATCTTTCCTTAATGATCGCTGAGAGTAATTGATGAGTATATCAAATTTCATAGTCTTCATAGTGGTTGCATTGTTGAATGAAATTCTCTCCGACAAATAGATACTTTCTTGTATAGCTTCCCCCCAACAAAGAGCCGCACATAAAACGAGTAATGAGGTATCCACTGACTGAGCCATAAATCCAAAGACTATAAAGCATTATCTGCCCATTAGTTTTCCCCACTATCGACATTACATCTTAATGACCAGATATTATAAAGGATTTATCCAGTAGATTTGCCAAAAATTCCTCCACTTTTCCACCATGTCTCTCAGCAGTTACACATTTGGCCTGATTCTTCTCCTATCGATTGGCTCTTCATCCGGAGCAGTGGTGAGAATTGTGCAAATTTGCTTTACTAGTGTAATCACTGAAACTGACCTACAATTTCAGGGCTACGATGTTGTCGTGAAGAAGTTCCTCTGCATGAATCTCATAGAAAATTATGCCAACTTAACATGTTCAGTCAATCTCATAAATCGCACAACAACCCTCATCCAATTCGACTACATTCCCAACCACGATATCATTAATCCCACAATTAAAATAAGTATCAACTACAAATTCACCACAACCTGGAGGCGTTTTCTCATCGACGTCACGGAGGACTTTTGTGGGTATATTCTCGAGGGAAAACCCGCCCTTGTTATCGATATCATATGGAAGAAATTCAAACATTACTCAAATTATGGCGAAGGATGTCCATTCAAGAAGGTAAATGAAACCCTCCATTTGTGTTGTCATCTCATAATCTCAAGAGACACATTCTTGACCACACAGGGGACAAATTACTACATCCATGACTACGTATTTGACCCAGAAAAATTTCCAACCGCCCTGCCAGCTGGGAATTACAGAATTGACATTATCATCCACAATGCGGCGAACAATTTGGACGTGGCCAAGGCAGAAATGTACACAGTCATGACAAGAAAGACATTCGCCGAAATTATCTGGGATTGATTGCAAACACTCCAATCAAACGAATGCTATGAATAATATCAATAAATATGTATTTTCTCAAGAGAGACATCAACAATTTTCTCATTGACGTCACGACGAAATCGTGCAAATTTATATGGAAAAAGTTAGAAAACTTTCAGAGAAACTTGTTAAACATGTTTTTCCCTCGTATAATTTTCATGTAAAAACTTCAATCCACTGACAAACTTCATCTCCACGTCATAACGACAAGAGACACCTTCCTTTTCATCCCACACACAATGAAATAAGAGCACTTCTCTCAGCAAATATATAAACCGATTTGTAGCAATTGAATTGCAAGAAATATTTCTCAACTAAATTAACTATAATTGAAACTAATACACTCTGTGCATTCATCTTCCTTCTCAACCTCCTTCTCTTCACATCTCACCAGACGAATAAACAAAATTGAAATGCTCATCACATTTTCACGCCTTCAAAGACAACAAACAATTTCTCTTCTTTGTCCAAAGTTGCACTCTGACAAGTCCCTCATAGAGTGTGCATCCGAAATTGGCTTACAAACCACCAAATTACGAGTGAATCATTTGATTTATTTGCAATCAAGACACCAATATTTGAGTTTCACTATTCAAATTTTATGTTACACAAACAATTGTTAGTGAGCAGCAATTATTCCGAGTTGAATCCAATTACAAGACACACTCTGGCTAAATACACACAATCCATAGAGTCATATCATCATCACTACAGCTGATAAAGGAAAGGAAACTCACAATTTACTGTCACTTCTCGTTGCGAGAGAGGCAATTTCGCGTTAATTTTCCCACCCACTCAATAATATCGATTTCCCTCTCAGGCACATTGAGAAATTGTCAAAATACACACCACTATTTTCACTTCGCGCCGCTGGCATTTATGCTTGAAGAATAATTGATGAATCCCCATAAACGTCCCATAAAAACCGTGGACGTGAATTTTTTATCAGTCAATTGACTCAATAAATGCCATAACATTGTTTTCACGCTCAAGGATATGTTTACATTGTTTCACACTTCTCAATGTTGACTAATAAATTAAAAGGATCGATAAGTGCGTCATATTCATAAATTACATCACCATTCATCATTAATGGCAGTTCATTGCACTTTCACTATCAATTGGGAAGTGCTGAGAAACTTTTTAACACCTCTCTGTCGCCGTGCAGTGTAATCAAGAGCTGACTTACTTATATGAAGAGTGTCCCTTTGAAGGTATCAATCAAAATTTGCAGTAATCATTTTCCATCTAATAAATGAGAAAACTTTCGGGCAAGGGTTAACATTTCACAAACAATCATCCTTCATCATCATTTTGGAACTCAGAGAAAACCGTGTTGAGGAAGATCAACAAGAACACAGTGAAATATTAAATAGTGTTGAACACATTTCAAACTGGACACCAGAAGATGTCCCCTGAAAATCTATCAAATATTGACTCAAGCAATTCTTAACAGCAACTCTTTCGTCAATAAACATCAACCCAAAATGACCAGACAGTCAAGTTCTCACTCACTTTGACGCCACTTCAATTATTATTTCCCTGTAACTCTGACTATTTGTCACCGCGCTAATTAAAACCCCCTCAAATCTCAACTCAGAACGAAGGAAAGAACTTCTTTTGTGCAAGGGTGAAATATTCCTCTTGTTCTCAACTCTTTTTAATGCATTTCAGCACATTTCACAAGTGCTTGAATTGAGAACTTTTACATTTCTCCACTGCTGACTTCTCTGCTCATCATCTTCAACCATCCACTTCAGTCGCATTGCACTCTGTCTCGTGGTTTCTCTCACATCTCGTGATTTAATACCGCACACACACCGCTCGAAAACGGGTTTGCAACCCACACATTCTGGTCTCTATTGAGAGTAAAGTCTCCTCTCCAAAATGTACGTCTGCATCTCTCAAAATTCAATATAACAAAACACCACAGCGAGAGGTGAATTTCTCAAAACTCAAATAATAATCACATTATAACGTCACATTTCCCTTGGAAACCCACGCTTAGTAATTAGATTGAATGACGAACAGAGTTGAGAGAAGTCAAGTGATAGAGAAACGTTAAATTGATCAGGTATTTTACCTAGTATTCATTGCTTATCTGCTCACTCATTTCTGGTTACGTCGTAAAGTAAATTGTGCAAAAGTCTCTCTAAACTGTAAAGCCACTGCGTAATCTTGAGTGATATATTGCAATTAAAAAAAGCCTGCACTTTGCTGTCGATCTTGGAGTATTTTCACCAACTCACCTGGACTTGAAACATGGTGACAGAATCATCGAGCATTTGCACGCGGATGGCGAGCTTCTTCCCGCCGCGATGATGCGTGATGGTCGGCGGCGTTCCATCGACACCCGATGGAGTGCTGAGTGAGTGGGTCATCCGTCCGCCGGGAACGCCCGAGCGTCCTGCCTTGTTGGGTCCCATGGAATCTAGTGACATCTTCACTTCACTCTCTCTCTCTCGCTCTCTTCCTTCTGCTATTTCTTCACGACGACACGCGGGGAAATTGGACTTTCACGTCAATTTTTGGCACATCAAAGTTCACATACACACTCTGTGTCCCAGAATGGAGCACTAGCAGATGGAGAATTCAATCAGGGCCACATCAGACAACGCTCTTGCTCTCTCTCTCGCAAGCTCCACTCTGGCAGACTGCTGCTCTTTGACGAAACTACGAGCGAAGCGGCAATGAGACCAAATAAAAAAAAGTGAAGAAGAAGCCGACTAAGTGCAATTGAAGCAGAGTCGTGGGTCAAAAGAACTGTGTCATCTGAAAAGAAAGACAGACAGAGAAATGGAATTAATGCTACATTATTGTGATCTATTCAATATAATTCAATTGAACATCTTCAACACACACACACACACGCAAACGCGCACATTTCTTCAATCATAGCCACATGAATAATCACATCAATTACGCTTCCTCAATCCTTATCAGCAGAGCGAATACACAGTGACCGAGAAAAAGTCCCATCAACGACATTTCCTCAACCCCCGAATGAAGAGACACAGCGAAGGCACCATTTTCACGATGCCATCATCGCTCGATTATGAGACAGGAAGAGTGGAGGAAAAAGAGGCATAAAAAACATTTTCTCACTCTTTTTCCAAATCAAATACAACGTCAACAAATGTGTTTATAAATTCAGTGACTTTTTCTCTCCCCCACATTTCTTGCGCGTCTTTTGATTTTTCAGCGCATCTCCCCGCGCGTCAGGGAACCAGCTAAGCGAATCCGTCTGACATCTCAGAGTCACACACGCCGCAGCAAATAAACCACTGAAACACCCAATTGATTTGTCCCGTGAATTCATCACCAATATTAATTAAGTCCCCATTGAAAACCGCAACATCACGATTATAATTGAGCAATGCTTTCAGTGGCCCAATTTTCAGATTTCACTCACAATTTTCACCCACATAAATCCGCCCTCAAACATTTTATTGCCTTCTCCTTCTGCCTCTCCTCGCGCTCCTTTATATTCTAATTAGAAGTTGGATTTTGACATGTCGAGACTCGCTCCATCTTGCATTATTTAACACAATCTCAAGCAATCAGACGACGAGCGAGCGCTTGTAATATTAAACGAGAGATATATAGGACCATATGGCGGAGCTTTCAATTAATATCCCAACCCAATAAATTAGGAACAATTCACCACCGTCGCATTTCTCATTTGCATTCCTATCCCGTATCGCGCCGCTTCCTTATCGATCACCACAAGCTCCAGTGCCTCTCGAGAGTGCACTTTTGATCTCCAACAACGCCTCTACCATTCAATCTCCCACTGAAGCCCATTCAGCACTTAATTGCAGACAGATTGACTGCTGATTTTTGCTGACACTGCACAAAACGCCACCAGCAATTGATTGCTGACAACACACAATCCGACACTTCTTGCCACACTTCTCAGAAAAACTCCTTATCTCCGCAGAGAGGTGCAATTACATCCCCTTATCACTGTTCCATTTCAATAAAGCAAAAAAAGACTCAACCTGACCCCATCTTGTGAACTCATTAGCACGCATTCCAGAGGACAAATTCTGCTCCAATTCACGCCTCACGGAAAAATAATACACAATGACCCAGGGATACCTTTTGGTCTCCCCTTGCGAAAGGCATCCAAATCACGCAAAGGCTTCTGCATGATTTCCCTTCTCCCATTCTTTTCTGTCTCCCTCTCTCTCTCTCTCTGTTTTTTTCTCCTCCTCGCGCTTCGCTTTTTATCATCGCTGCCGGTGTTTCTTCGGGTACACATTTTTCAATCTCATCTGCCACCCATTCTACAGCATCACGGGCGCAATTCCACCACCCGATGCCACAGGAAACAGCATGAAAGAGGCAAAAGCGAAAGGGTTCATCAACTTTGATTCAACAAAAAGGTCACATTTCAAGAGATTCTCGATCAAACCTATTTATAGAAGAACCAGAAAACACATAAATCGATTCAGGAGTGAATCCTCAATGTAAGAATTCACGCATAATTGACAATTTGAGATTAACCACAGAAATCGGAACGAGTATGAGCCATTGAAGAGGACGATTATTTCGTTCATATTCGCTTCAATATTCTAGCTTTTGTGCATCTCCAACTGTGGAATGCAATGAAGGGTTGAATGAGTGGTGAATTGAGCTGATGAACCCCCTGGAAAGTTGCCCAAAGGGTGTGCATTGGAGCAATGACGTTGGAAGGAGTAAATTCATTTCTGGAGGCGCCAAAAATAGACTCCAGCAGGAGTTGGGGGAACTGAACGGGAGTTTCATATGCGCGCCCCTGCCAAAGGGAGCGCAAGATGAACCTGCACCTAGAGCATCTGCTCCAGACTATTTTTTCTCCCCATCAATTTATTTACACTACGAGCCGCACATTTTCAAGATATCTTCCAGTCTTCAACTCCCAACCATCACTTTGTTTATTAACTTGCGCTTCCTTCACACTTTTATCATCAAATTCACTCCTCTCGCATGCGAAGGAACGCTTTTTTGGGATTGTCTCACAAATCTCTGTGTGGACTCTCCGGCCCTCACTTTTCGTGTGTTTGCTTGAGCACGAGTGTGTGCGTGAACTCTTGATGTCTTTTTATCAATTTCGCGTCACTTTTTCTCCATGCCCGCCTTTTCCCAACATTCGCCACGTCTTTTGCAACATTGTGGTATGAGATAAGACGATGTGAATACCGAGGAACTTTTTCTTGCCATAGACTTGCAAACTCTGTGCCACATTTGTACGAAAAATATACAACAATTCCGGGTATTTCTTTCTCTGATTCTCGTTGGGCTTTTCGGGAGGGATTCTCAAGTACCTGACCAAAGTGGGGAGATTGATCAAACTCTACAAATTGCACCGCTCAGCTGCGCCTCCGTGACTGGCCAAAGTGCAACTGATGGAATATGCAAATTGAGACGCGGAGTCGCTGGTCTTCCACACGCGTCTCCTGGAGAGCATTCTCGGCGAGAGCGCGACGACGCAAACGCACTTGCATACATTCTCCAGCCTCTGCGCCCCTCGCGCGCCTCCTGGCCAGGTCGATGATTAATTACTTATTCAGCCAGGACTGTGTTCTCTGCGCTTCTGCCTTGTCTCTCTCTCTGCCCATTAGCTGTTTACCTGCTCCTCGTGGAGCGTCGCGGGCGCTTCTGGCCACATGGGAGTGTCGCACAAATTAATAATTAATACCGCGGAGCCACACACGGGCCCTCTGCACCATTTTCTCCGTCTCCGCTCTGTGGGTGGATGCCGAGAGTGTCTTCGAGAGCGATCCGGAGCGGTTGACAGAGTCCAAAGACACAAAACTCGTTGAACCTGAAAGCGACCCACTTTTTTCCTCACCGTGTGCGCCTCATCATCTGGCCTTTGTTCCGCACAATACACACTCGCGTCCGCTCTGGGGCGCCCCTTTCGGGAGCCAAACAATGCGCGCCCACCGCGGAAAAACGCCCGGAAAATCAATGAAACTACCAAGAATGCACTGCCCAAACTGGACCACACAGTCAGCGAAAATGCTCGCCCTTCCCATTCGAGTTTAGGGAACTTCGTGACCCATTTCTGGAGCCCACCCCCCGAGCGCCAGGGGAAAATCTGCGAGAAAAGCCCCCACCTCCGGACAGCCAGAAAAATTCGATGTCGCAGCCAATGGGCCTCGCTGTTTTTGCCTTTTTCACCACTTTCCTGCACACGCACACGCCGTCCCGCACGTGAATTCGTGAGTACTCACATTCTTGTCGCTCCTCCAAGTGTTTTTGCCACTTTTTGCACAGTTTTTCCACGGAAATTCGGGAAAATTTGCACCACGCCCGCTGTCAGGAATCAAAACTACACGAGTTGCCTGATGCCACTGGAGTTGCCAGACTCTCCAGCGCAGACACGCACCGCGGATCCTATAAGATGAATCAAATCCGCAGAACAGGGCCGAAAATGACGAACACATCTCCAACTTTTGCATTCAACACGTGGAATTTATTCTCAAAAGCATTATGTATAATTTGTGATGTGATTTCACTTCTTCTTCGATCTCCCTCCTTTCGATGTCGAGGGCGCCTTCTTGCCTTTAGATGTGGATTCTGCGGGTTCTTTCTTCGCAGGCGCCTTCTTCTTGGCCTTTATCAGGACATCATTGTCAATCTTATCGTCCTCTTCTTCCTCCTCAGACTGTTGTGCCACTTCCTCGCCATCCTCATTCAGCAATCCGTCTTCAGCATCGCCAGCGCCGGCCTTTTTCTTCTTTGTCGCCGCATTGGCGGAATAAACGAAGGGACAAACTTCCTTGTTGTACATTCTCGTCAAGGCAGCCTTCACCTTCCCATCGATTCCATCCAGCGGGCTCTTCTTTCCTGGGAACACCGATAACTCCACCAAACCCTCAATGTCCTCCCTCAGCAGGCGATACTCCTTCATCACATTCACAGCTTCCGGCACTCCTTCGGCACCCTTCTGCTTCAGCGGCGCAGAAATCGCCGCCAGGATATTTGGAGCATAATCCAGACACACGGATTCACGCGATCCGGAGGCAGTAATTCTGATGTGGTCATTGATCTCCTGCGCCAGGCGGAATTTCTTGTTCCTCTTTGAGTTCTTTCCCAGCCATCCGGGAAATTCGATCTGGCCAGTGAAGAAGCCCTGCATAAAATACCCCGGAAGAACTGAACTGAAGATCGCTTGCGTGGGTAGCAAAGACCACGCCATATTCGACCGAATCCGTCGATCAACCAAATCACCCATGCTCAGGCAATCTGCAGCTTCCGCTACCTTCAATATAGCTGCCCTCTTGTCGCCTCTGGGCGACACTGAGAGATAGTTTTCCTGAACAAAGAGCGGCCCCAGACTGTAGTCATGGAAGAAGAGATCACTCCTGTCCTGAATGGACATCTTCCTCTGCTCCTCGGCCGAGAAGACTTTCCGCACGACGTCCCAAGGACCCTAAAATAGCCAGAAATCACTTGAATCTCAGGAAAACAAAACCCAGAAAATCTCTTCTCACCAGCTTGAGATCCTTCTTGGAGTTTTGGCCACCAGTTTGCGTGCCTTGGTCATCCTTCTTGGCATTCAGCATCGACAGAATGTTGAGTGTCTGTCGAACATCGTGATTTGTGGACGCGATGATCTCATCCAGCACTCCTGGAGCCAATTTCAGCTTCTCCTTGAAGCACACCGACATCATAGCTCCCTTGATCTGCTCCGCCCTTGGCCTCTGGAAGCGCAGGTCGTAGCAATAGTTCACCAGAGAGCGCATTTTCTGGGCATTCCGATCGTTACACATGCAAACAATGGGCACAGAACTGTCCTTGATGAGCGCTATCAACTCCTGGATGCCACCTCGATCCTCGTTTCCCGCCATTCCGTCCACCTCGTCCATGAGCAGGACGTGCTTCTTGGACACAGCCACCTTGGCGTTGTGGCAGAAGCCGAAGAGGGACTTGTTGGATAGCAACTCGGAAACCTGCTCCTTCAGCAGGCGCTTGGATCTCGTGTCGGACGCATTAAATTCCACCACGTCGAAGCCCAGCTCGCGGCAAACAAGAGAAGCTGTGGTGGTTTTGCCAACTCCCGGCGGTCCAGACAGCAGGGCAGCTTTAAAGAACGCCCCGTCGTCAGACTTCGCCCAGGGACTTGGGCGCTGGAGCTTCTTCTTCCCGTCGTGGTTTGAGTACCACTTTGAGAGCCAATTGGTCAGCTTCACCATGTTACTGGCGGCTCCTTGCTGCCCTATGATGTGCTTGGAACTCACTGGAGCGTACTTGTCCACCCACGGAAGCTTTCCACCAACGTCTCCAGTCACATTGAGCTCGCTCTTCTTTGCTGGAAACGCTTCTTCTGCCAGTCTTCCCTTCTTTCCGCCAACATCAGGAGATTTATCGGCCTTTCTCTTCACACATCCTGCACCAAGTCCTGCACCTACTTGTATCTTCCCAACACTCTTTTGCCTGATCAAGTCAAACAACCCATCTTCGCTCAGCTTCTTCGTGCCAAACTCCTCTATCTTTTTGAGCTTTGCTGGTCCAGCCTCCTCTCCGAGGACCACGTAATCAGTCTTCTTCGACACCGACGCCATCACTCGCCCGCCGAGATCCTTAATCAACTGTGTGGCCTCTTCGCGCTGCAACGACTCCAGAATGCCAGTGATTATGAAGCTCAGTCCGGCTAAGCAATCGGGAGCGCCTTCTGGCACTTCCTTGCTACCCGGATCGATGCAGGACGAGCGATTCTTGAATTTCTGGTACAAAATCCCCGCCAGTTTCTTCTTGTCTTCAGGAGGAACTTCTTTAGACTCCTTGGTCTCCTCTTTACGTGCTTTGTCAGCAGGTTTTGGACTCTTTTCAACAGGTTTTCTAATCTTTTCAGCAGATTTTGGAGGCTTTTCTACCGGCTTTGTTGTCTTTTCAGCAGATTTTGAAGGCTTTTCAACCGCTTTTGAGATCTTTTCCACAGAGTTTGAAGACTTTTCAGCCGATTTTGGTTCCTTCTTCACTTTCTCCGAGGATTTCTCCTTTTCATTCTCGAGATTCTTCTTCGGGGTCTTCTTGGGCGTCTTATGCTTCCCATTGACTTCATCCAAGGCCTTTACAGTCCTTAAGAATTCCTCATCTGAATGAAAATCACTTTCAGTTGGTTCTTTCTTGGGTGTTTTCTTCTCTTTGTCCTTATCTGATTTCCGCGGAGTTTTGGTTTTCTTGGGCTTCTCATCACCATCCACGAAGTTCTTAGCAAAATCATCAAACTCGTCATCAGATGGGAAAGCCACCGCCGCAGATTTCTTTGGAGTTTTCTGCTTTTTTAAAACCATTTCCACAGGTTTGTCATTAAAGATCTCACCCAGAGATTTCACCACTTTTTTCGGCACTTCGGGTTCCTTCTTCAGCTTCTTCAGATCGGGCTTGCTGCTCTTCTTCACCTCCTTCTCATCGTCAGAGTCAAAAACCCTCCGCCGCTTGGAATGTCCTTTAGAACTTTCATGCTTCTTCACTCGCGGAGCGTCCGGAGTTGGAGGAATTTCATCATCGCTTGACACCACAAAAGTCTTCTTCTTCGCACTACTCGTGGAAGATTTCGATGGCTTGGACTGTGCATCTTTGCTAGACGTCTTCACACTGCTTGACGACTTGGAACTCGCTGAGAAATATGATCTTATATCCTGTGAAAAGAAGCCAAAGGCGAAGGTCACGAGAAAAACTTAGGTTAGTTCAAAAACTGCGAAAGTTCGTCTTACCCTGGGCATTTTCACGCAAATTTTCAATCCAGAGATCACAGGCAACCTTATCTATACACATACACTATAAAACTTAATAAAAATATCCAGCAAAAGAGTGGCGCAATTGTGAGGAAAACCAAAACAATCCGTGAACTCACAAAATCGCCATCAAAGTGGTGAGAAGCAGCGCCACACTGCGGGATCCTAGGCAAGCACACACCAGACCCTAAAGAGGTGAATTTCAGAACTCCCCTTTTGTTTGAAATGCAACGAACAACTTTAGTCTGCCTGAGTTCGTGATTTAGGTAATGAACAATCTAAAAAGCGGCCTAATTAATTTGTGTGCGAGACTCTCTTTGAAACAAAACTCTTTCCCCATGCCATACTCATTATTTCCCTCCCAATTCAGTGGAGCCTCGGCGCAATTCTCCTCCGTTCCTGATTGATATGGGGTGACGTGGGCTTGATGGAATTGATTAAAATGCCATGAGAAGGCAGAAAAACGTAGAAATTTAATAGAAGAGACACTATTTGACGCTATTTGTTAGGCATGTTTTAGGATTGGCAATTTGAATAATTCCCTGATAATCTGCTTTTGATTAAAGCACAGTGGAATCGATTTGATGTGTTTATCTGCATCCCTCCTGTCGTCCTGCACAGTTATTAGAGGTGTAATTGACTACTCTCGATTATCATCCGTCAAATTAAGTCCCTTGCGCGCTCAGTGAGCAAAGAAATCCCATGGAAAACATCATATATCAGGGACAGCGAGAGAAACACCCACAAATCTCAATACAAACACAAAACAGTAATCATTTACATTTAATTAAACTTCTGGTTTGGTTTTGCAACCCTCCCGAGGGCGCCTCACCCTTTTCCCGAGACGTTCACACCCTCCCGAAAAAGCCATGAGCGAAAATCTCGAACGGAGGGTCGAAACCGCGCCGAAATTAAATTTTCCTCCTCGCACAATTGTGAATCGCATGAAAAATTAATAAAGTCCCGAGCACAGAGCGTTTGAATATCAAATTAGTGGATTTAAGCGAAATGTTATTAAATCGATACTCACACTCTCGAGGAGAAGCGCGATGACGAGTCTCTGGGGAATTTGGCGCTCGCCCTCGAAATTCCGCGCGATCTTCCTGGAAATGGGGAGCAATAAAATGCTGAATAAAGAACCATTCATCAATTGAGGATCACTCTTGGATCCTCCCTCGGGAATCAGGCTCCCAACGACGCAATCTTGCGACTTATGGATTCGAGTGAAAGCCTTTTTCCCACATTAGGCATGATCGCGCGAGATAAATTGAGATAAATCCAGGTGAATTTCGATAATCTCCGCTGAGATGGACTGAAGACGTCGTTCAGGTGAGAGATTTGAAGAAGATCGAGAACTCTGAAGGAGCCTTCAAGACAATTTCTGGCTCGCGTAATCTACTGAAAACATCTCACCAAATATCATCGATAGATTAATCATGTCCGCATTCTTTTTTGTTGTTTGAACAATACACAACAATCTCCCTTTTTCTCTCAACATCTCTCTCTCTCTCTCTGCTCTTTTCTCCTTCCCCGAATCCGAGTGGAGCAAGAAAAAATCAGACATTGGGCAAAAAATCATTAGGCGATATAACACAATGAATAATAATTTTTTCCACCATCCTCTTTCTCTGGGTTCCAGGGAGAGGAGCAAGAGAAACAACACACATTTCAATACAATTTTGGGTGGTTGGGCAACACTTGGAGATCAATTTGGATGTGAATTTATACATCTTCCATTGCACACACACCGTTTCGAATGCGATTTTTTGGAGTAAAATGCCCAATAGATAAATAATAGATAAAACACGATAAATTATCGTCCATCATCTCCACTCGCGCTGAGGTGGAATCATTTATCAAAAATCATCGCCACTCTTCGTCCATCTCTCACCCAGTCTTGCGCGCTTCCCTGAGACACGAACAGGTGTTTTTCGCCGCCCCGGGAAAAGCCATCCAGGGAAAATCCTGCCGACGATGGAAAATGGGAGAAAGGACAGGTGCCAGAGGCCAGACAAAGAGGCGCACACGATCACGAGGGTGCTCGCGATCGTGGCGCAACAAAAGCCTTTTGTTGCGCTAATTTATGATTTATATTTTAATTTCTTCTCCCTCAGTGAGCGTCTCACCTTCAGACTCATCACGCATTTCTCCTAATGTCCATAAATATTTTGAGTGTGAATGTCGTTGCGAGTCTCTTTTACGGCCATTGATAAAGGGTAAATTGGGGAGAAAATTATGATCCTGGAGTTTTGTGTAAGCAAAGCGAAGAGGTGTAATTATATGACTGAGTAAATAAAGAGTTGCTTTGTAGAAGAAAATGTAGATAAAGGTTCGTACATCAACATATTTTTCAGGTTTCAAAAACAACACAATGTAACTATTAAAGTGTAATCCAAAAAATATTCTTCCATTAATTCACACTTTATCAATTGCGTCATGATTCAGTCAGAATATCAAGTGAATCTTCCTCTCATTGCGAGATAATCAAAAATCAATACTGCCCTCAAGCTCGCCCACAACCGATAATCGGTTGATCCCTGACTTTTACCATCTGCAAGAGGGCCTCAATGGCCCGGAGTCAAGAGTCTTCAGTCCAATATTGACACAAAGGGCAGACAATGAATAATTTCACTCTCAATAAACTCACCCGGCGCGCATCCTTTTCGACACATCCCACTGAAATGACGCTGGCACGTGGCGCAAAAAAGGATCAGTGCAGAAGTTTTCCACCCCAAACCACATCAATAATGTGTTGTCTTCCGTCAAAAAAGTCCTCCTCTTCGCACCCTCCTTGCGGTGGAAATCCGAGTGTGAGTGATTTATGGGTGAACTTAATTACCCCGGAGGAGAGACTCTCGATGTAGTCGCAACGTCTCTTCCGATGGCTGGGCGCACGCAGGAAGACGGCATCCCCGGGCATCTCCAAGGAGGCGAAGGGCCACACTGGGTGCGCGGCAGCAAAAAGTAATGGAGAGCAATTGAGGGAATTTATTGTGCATGCCAAGTGTGGAGTTAATCAAAATTCCAACGGTGGAAACACGCAGAAATTTGCATTGAATGGCATTTGAGTGAAGCTGAAAAAGGGACTGTTTGGGAGTGAAGACAGGTGTTTTGTGCCGTGAAACAACTCAATCCGTCTCGCACTTTCTCCGCAACTCATTTTCACTGTGTGGGGCTGTGCGAAAAAAACACGGGCCCCCATCAAGGCCCACCGGGAGGGTTGTTTTTCATCCCTCTGTGCCATATATAGCACTTTTTCATCCTTATCGCACCCACGGAGAGACTTCTATTTTTATTTTCCACTATAACTTTGCGCATTTTCCCTTTTGTTGCCTGGCTAGGACTTTTTTCTGCATAAATACATTACGTGGAGAAAGGCGATTGCGAGGGAAAACGCGAAATACAGTGTGACACAGAGGAATTGTGTGGTGTGAAGGGATTTCTACACCCAACTTTCATGTGCACATATTCGCCTGGCTTCCACTGTTGGCAGCAAAGAGGGTTTAACAACCCCCCCAAAGCACATACACAGACGAAAGGGAGTCCCTTTGTTGTTTGTGTTTTCACGCACAATTTTGCGCGCGCTTTTGATGCCTTCGCGCGCGCCCGTCCCGACGCTCCCTTTGTGCCGACGATGGGGAGGACACCCCGGGAGGGTGGCTTCTGCGTGCCGTGGAAAATGGCGATGGCACTACATTGTGTGTGTGTATCTATGACGACATCGCCTCCATGGCGGCTCTCGCGGGAGTTTTTGCACCTGAGACTCGCCTGTCATCTCGAGCACGAAGATTCCGCGCTTAATTGCCGCGATCTGCAGCCCCTGTTTTGGGATGATGGACGGCAGCGCGAGAGAAATTCCATTGCAATGGTGATTCCGCACTGCCCAGTTTTTCCCTGACACCAACGCGGCTCTTTGATGGAGCCCCTCAATGGGGCTTAGATTGCGGACAATTTTTCCTCTATGGCGAGCAATTAATTCGTGCCATGGCCTCTTTTTGCTCAGCAGCTCCTCCATCACATTGCGACAAGTCTTTCGCTGTGGCCTCAAACCTACCGCACATCGGCTGTTTGATATTGATATTACCTGGGCACATGAGCACAAGCAGGAGAGATTTATGCGAAGGCTCCTCCAAATGATATTGCGCCAGAGAGAGAGAGAGACTTTTTTCCCAGGACAAAGCATGGAGTTCAAAACATCTGGACAACTTCTACATCGAAATCTAAGAAATCAGGGAGCAAAATGTTTAAAATCCGACAGTATTAATTGTAATGACAAAGTATTTTTACATACAAGTCAAGAGTTTATTCTATGATTACAAATTTCTCTACATTTAAAACTAAAAGTAATGAAATAACTTTAATTTGAAGTTACTACTAATCTTATCTCGAACATCCAATGGGATATTATCCCAAATCCTTTCTGTCACACTTATTTCCAACATTGTCGATCTCTCCTCAAGAAATGGCAGGATCTCAGAGATAAAAGTTCCATTAACCAAGCTTCTTCCATCTCCTTCGTTTATACTGATACGTTTCAGCAATGGACACTTTTTAATTATATTCAGTACACTGTGATCGCTGATATAAGGGCATTCCTTAAAATGAAGTTCTTGGAGACGCTGTATATTTATGGAAGATGCCAACTGAATCAGATCCTCATCAGTGAAACTATAAGGATTAGTTATCCTAAGTACTTTCAAATTGGTGAAGGCACAGAGCGCTAGCAAAGTGGATTCTGTAAAATCACCATGAGAATACGTCACATCCTCCAGTGTGTGCCAGGCGGCTGCTTTAAACAATAAGGGATCTATATCGTTCAGATAAGGAATTATAGGGGTTATATAAAATAAAGCAAGAGTCAGAATTTTTAGATAGGGCAAATGTCCTAACAATTTTAAGTCAGTGCTTATGACTATAAGGTGAAGGTTCTCTAGGCGTATCAAATGCCTTTCCACAACATTCAAGAATTTGAAAATGTATCCACCGAGTTTGAGAGTCTTGAGTTGAGGATTTTGCTCACAAAATTGCGTAAAGTAAGATAGTTTTAGCTTATGGCAAAGACTCAGATTGATCTCTTTAATATTACGCAAAACCCTCAAACACTTTCCGGTTATTTCTTTGTTACGGGTGAGAC